TTATGCATAGATGCTTTGGATTTTAGAAAGTATTGTTGAAAAATAAAGTTACCATGCTTAAAAATAACTAAAATCGGGTACTGATCAAAATGTACATATATACACGGGATGATAGGTTTATTTCTCTTATTCATGAAAAGGGAAAAAAATTGAAACCAAAATATAAATATAGAGATACTGATGAATCCCGTAATTATTTAAAGCACCTCCCAATTCAAAAAAAAATGTTGAAACTCTGAGGTGGGGTCAATATTCAACAGGGTCAATTTTCAACTTGTTGGGGTCATAGGGATAAGAAAAAAAATATCAAGCCGTTGAAAAATGACCCCGGGTATAAATTCAACGACATTTGGTCTCAATTTTCAACGTTAAAAAAACACCTCGGTTCAAAATTCAACATTGAAAAATGAACCCCGGGTCAATTTTCAACTCGGGTCAATATTCAACGTTACACCGTCACGAGAAAAGGGCCCTTAAGGTCAAATTTTCACAAACTGACTTTTTGATAAATTTTGATAGCCGGACTCTTTCTGAATGCAAATATACATAAATTTTGAAAATATCTCACTTTTTCGGTATTTTTGAGCATTCTAGTGAGGCGCTTCAAAAATAACTTTGAGGTTACTCACTGAAAACGTAATGACGTCGCCTGCGTCTAATTCAATTTTCAAAAATCTTAAAATTACATGTTATTTAAATAACCTCAATTGTTTTGAGAATTAAAAACTTGAGAAAGTATTTATTTTTTTTCTTCCAAGCGACTAGTATGTAACTACTTCTAGGGGATTTCGTATGTTATTACTATTTTCATGCTAATTTTTAAAGCAGATCTAGTAATTTCGTAAAAGGGGGGGGGGTGTCTAGACGGTATAACATAATCAGTGGGGAAATAATATTTTTTTCTAAATCTAGACAAATTGTTCTTTTTATATATAACAATCTCTTTCAATTTATACAAAATAAAAAAGCACTTGTAACACTTAAAGATGAAAAGAAATATATACGAGATAATCCTATGAAGAAGGACACCGAGCGCAAAACGGGATACCCCTAGCAAATGCAACAAGAGGCCCATGGGCCACATCGCTCACCTGAGCACTGTGGCTAGGTAAAAGTATACATTGGTTTATTATTGAAAAAGTAAAATCCAAAAGTAGTCCCATGAACAATCATGGATTTTCTATCTTTGAGAAGAAGATTTTTAAAGAATTTTCCTATATATTTCTAGGTAAAACTTTGGTCGGCCATTTTGGCCCCGCCCTACCCCCGGGGGTCATGATTTGAACAAACTTGAATCCACGCTACCTGAGGATGCTTCCATATAAATATGATGAATAATGGCTCGGTCATTCTTGAGAAGAAGATTTTTTAAGTATTTTCCTATATATTTCTATGTAAAACTTTGGTCGGCCATTGTGGCCCCGCCCTACCCCCAGGGGTCATGATTTGAACAAACTTGAATCTACACTACCTGAGGATGCTTCCATATAAATATGATGAATTATGGCTTGGTCATTCTTGAGAAGAAGATTTTTAAAGAATTTTCCTATATATTTCTATGTAAAACTTTGGTCGGCCATTTTGGCCCCGCCCTACCCCTGGGGGTCATGATCTGAACAAACTTGCATCTACTCTACCTGAGGATGCTTCCATATAAATATGATGAATTATGGCTTGGTCATTCTTGAGAAGATTTTTAAAGAATTTTCCTATATATTTCTATGTAAA